CCCGTCCCAGGGTAGGTCCCGGACGCCGGGCCGCAGGGGTACCTGCGGCCGCTGCTTGCCGCCTGCCTCCCGGGCCTAGGCATGGCCGCTGCAGCGCCGAGCCGGCGGCTCGACCTCGGCCGGGGCTCGGAGGGCCCTTTCTCCACCTCTGCCGCCGGCTCTGACCAGCGTGCCTTGAAAACCGAGTCCCTGCCTGCGAAAGAAAACGCCGCTCCGTTGGGCGCCCCTACAAGATGGGGGATCGGTGCAGGTCTGCAAGGCCAGGCTCTGCCCCTCCTACCTGTTGGATGAGCTGAAGTTCCCCAGAGCCCGGCAGCTCAGGGAGAGCTCGAGATGTGAGGGGCTCCCCAAAGGGATGGCAAGGTGCAGGGACAGCCAGCCGGTGGCAAAGGCGGGGGTGGGGTTGCACCCTGAAGGCTGGGGAGCCCGATAGGTGAGTTGGAAGTGAAACTGTAACCCTTGGTAGGGTGGAACTTGATTTGGCTGCGTTTGACTGGAGCTGTCCGGGCCGGCCCGTCCTTACCTGTGCCTCTGAGCGAATTGGGTTTTAAGGGCGGGGGATGAACCGAAGCAGGGGAAGAGCCTCTCATGTGCTGGTTCCCCGCACGGTGTGCAGGCTGGTTAGAGGAAGCATGGGGACAGGGGAGACGGCTTTGAAAGAGCACGCAGGAGGTCATGCTTAGAGCAGTAGGTGGCTGTCAGGGAAGATTGCCCCTCCACTTCACTTCATTTGGCAAATACTAAAACATGCAGGGTGTAGGGTGGAAGTAACCGTCATGGAGAAATAAAACATGAAGGTCTGCGGGGGAGAGCTGGAGACAGAGGTCACCTTTTTACGGAAGGCGGATGGAGAGGGTGATGTGTGGCAGACAAGTGCCAGCTGTGCAGCAAGGTGGTGGCAGCGCATTTATTGGCAGGTGCAAAGGTCCTGGGGTTGTGTGCTTAGTGGTTTTCAAACTCAGCAAGAGAACACAGGGCTGGAGCATGGTGAAGAAGGTGAGGAATGGTTGGCAAGGAAGTCAGAAGAGTTGGAAGCAGATAACAGAGAGAAGCAGGTCAGGGGCAGGGATATGGTCAGGGGTGGGTAAAGGCCACCCTTTCAGAATTTGCTTGTTGGAGTGTCTGGTGGCTGGAGAAAATACAGATTTGTTTTAGATGACAAATGGCCATTGTGTTCCGGCTTCTCGTCCTAAGTGCCCTTTTCCCATCTTTGTAACAACCATTGATGAAATAAATACAACCCCCACCCTCCCATCCCTACCAAAGACAGCCATAGAGCAGTGTGGGAATATCGAGTCAGCTAGCTCTACCCCGTGGGTGTGACAACGCGGGCCAGACGCCTTTGCTCCTGCCTTGGTCTTCTCATTTGTAAGACAGGGTTGTTGAGTGAAACGGGAGCATCCGCGGAAGGGCTTAGCGTCGTGCTTGGCGGGTAGCGTGTGCTCAGTTACAGCGGGTGCGGTGGTGACAATAGCGTGGCAGTGAGGAGCCCTCTCCCCGTGTGTCACAGAGCCTCTGCTTTAGCACCAGCTCTGGCTGCCTCCCCAAGCATAGTAGGATTTGGGAGAACGTTGGGGGAGGCACGATAGACACTTCCCGACGCCTCCAGTTGCATCTCTTACAGGGAGGGTGGGGCTTGCTCCTGGGTTTTTTCACAGCCCTGGAAAGCAGTGGGGAATTTTGAAAAAGACGCAGCACATCCCCCTTCCGTCATCTAAAATAGGCAAAATAACACAGCTTGGCGACAGGTGGGGAAGGGCAGTGGATGTTGAGCCCAGCTGTGAGACTGGTGCTCCCTTGTGGCCATCCAGAGGTGGAGGCTATGGATACCAGAAGCGCCTGGTGGTGGCTGAGGCGCTGCACCCTGGATCTCCCTCGTCACCTGGCTAGTGGGGCAGCTGGGCCAAAGGGTTTGAACATGAAAGCTCCAGGGCCTGAGGATGTGTCTCTGTGCTAGAGCACTTACTTACCTAGCATGCCTGAGGGCCTGGACTTGGGCACATGAAAGAGGAAAAGGAAATGAAAAGCCAGCCCACCATGCAGGCTGGCCTGGAACTCTCTGTGCACCTCAGGCTGGCCTCAGACTCAAAGTAATCCTCCTGCCTCAGCCTCTTGCATTCAGGAAGCCCTTAGGAAGGGGGCTGCTCTTACCTGAGGTTTTTTGCTTGGCTTCTGTACCTCAGCTGTTCTTGGTCCCTGAGCTGAGTTCACAGACCCCTGATGGGCCACGTGTTCAGAGGCCAAGGTCATACCTGGTGGTTTAGCAACCAGAATTGTCCCCACAGGCACATGCTTCGGACACTCCTCTTCTTAGAAATTCTTTACCACCCTGCTGCCATTCTCAGATGGCCTGCTCAGCAGCCCCACCAGGAAGACCCGGAAAATACAAGGTTGGAAAACCCTGCCTGGGGACCTCGTGGAGCTCCGGCTTCTGTGCCACAGCTAACCTGTCACACCTCACTCTCAGGGCAGCTCATGGGTCACACAGAGTTCTTTCCCTCTGGAAGCTTCCCATCCTGTGACAGAATTAAATGACAGCTGCCCGTGGGATCCTCCCCCGCCATACCAGGTCCCCTGCGCCCGGCTCCAAGGACGCGGAGTTGTGCGGACGCAGTGGAGGCTTAGGTACAGAAGGTGGAGCTGAGGCGTGGAGTCAGGCACCTCGGCGCCCCTTGGGCAAGTCTGTGCTCAACTTCGACCCATAGCCTCTTCCTCTGGAAACAGAACCGTCTCGTGTGCCCTGGAGGCTCTCTGTGGCGTCTCTGAGATTGTGCCTGGAAAGCTCCAAACGCGGAGTCTGGTGGAACCTGGAATGGAGCAGTACCCGGATCTGAACTCGCTCACACCTGGTCCGCGGCAGACCTCCCTACGCTGTAGATTCCAAGAACTCCTGGCCAGGCGTGGTCATGCTGTGATCCCAGTGCTCGGGAGGCTGAGGCAGAAGGACTGGTACGAGTTCAAGGCCAGTCTGGGCTACATAAGCGAGAGCCTGTCTCAAAAACAAACAAAAAACCCCAAGAACTCCCGCGTCTGATGGAGCCTGAGAATGAGATGAATGAATGCGTATCAAGGACTGAGCAGAATTCTTAGCATAGACTTGGCACTCAGCATACGAGCATTAATAAGTTTGGTTGCAGGATTAGGACCCAAGCTGATTCCTGGCCTACGCGGCACCCCCAAAGCCTTGCCTGTTCTCTCTGTCTCACTCTTTTTCATATTTGTTGTTTATCAAGAGAGGTGGCACCAGCAGCCCCCTCATGGAGCTCTGCATTTCTCCCTTGTTCCATTTCGGCACCTTCTGCCTTTAACCCATCCTGCCCATTGGTCTCTGCAGATGCTGCAGGTGGGCGGTCTCAGAGCCTTACCTTCCATGCCCCAAGAACCCTGGCGTTGCCCCGGGGCCCGGCCCAGTGTGGGCTGTGATCTGCTCCGTCCCGGGAAGGCGCCAGCGCCTATAAATAGGGAATTTGTCTGGTCCCCCACCTCGAGGGTTAGTATTTCACAGGGTGGGCACTGCCTCAAGGCCCAGGCCTGGCTCCCTCAGCCTCCTGTCTGCTGGGTGTCCGGGTACTGAGGGAGGGGTCCCTTCTCTGGCCCTCTTCTCTCTATCCGCTCCCTTTCTCACGGGATGGGTGGACCAGAAGCACCTGGCTGGTAAGAAGCTTGGCCTGGCCTGAGGTTTGGATCCCTCTCCATCGCTGTGGAGGTCAAAGCAAGTGGGCTAGCAGTCTCAACCTCTGACTGCCAGCGCTGATCATTCCCACAGCAGCAAACCTGTGTTCTGCTAGATGCCACATGCCAGTGCACACCGGGACCACACCGGGGACCAGGATGCGTGGGTCCAGCCACACAGTCCCGGCTCCCAGCTCTCAGGCTGGGGGAGGGGCCGTGTGCAAATGGTTATGCAAACGATTAATTCACTGGGAGTGCAGGGTGCCAGGACTGGTTGTTTTATTGCTAAAATAAGAGACTGTACGAAGGAAAGCTCAGCACAGTCCAGAGACGCCAACACAGAGGCGGCGGCTTCTCTGTCCTCTCCCACGGCCCCCTTCCCCGGGATGCCCGGGTGTGCAGGGATCCAGGCAGAGGGGACCTGCAGGAAAAGGATTCTCCCCATTTGGTGTCCTGTGGAAATCAGGGTCCCCCGCCCCCAGTTCCTAGAACTCCAGATGGCCGGAGCGAGGCCTGCAGCTGCACGGGCACAAGCGGCAGGGTGTTCCAGCCTCCAGGCCTCTCAGCCTCGGTGCCAAGATGTGGATGGCTCCTTCCTCCCCCATCGCGCCCCAGCCCCAGGCATCTGCTTGGCACTGCCGTAGGGAAGGCAGCAGATGGTACCCTCTGCCCAGTTTGTCACTTGGGGGCTTTGGGAACTGACGTGCTGGTCTCCTCCTCCCGGGGACCGGAGCGGGGCATAGCGGCTTCCTGGGTTCCCGGCTCAGACTGGCAGCTTTCTCCATCCAGTCATGCACCCTCAGCTACGGACACAGCCGTGGCCAGCCGGCGGGCTCCACCTCTGCAAGTCCTTTGTTGCCCCGGCCACAGGCATTTGCTGAAGTGGTCAAGCGCCAGGGTGCCCGGGGCTCCCTTTGCCCTTAGCCAGCATTCCTGGACCTGGGCCCACGGCCCCAGTATCCCCCGACACCCGCTCCCAGCCTGCAGTCTCCTTCCCAGGTCCCGTTCCTCCTGTCCCACCACCAGCTAACCAGGACTCATCTTTGGGGTCTCCCTGAAGCGCCCCCACTTTTTGAGACAGGGTCTCACTGTGCAGTTCAGGCTGATCTTGAACTCGAAGAGGTCTTCCTACATCGTGCATCCGTGGCGTCTTAGGTGCGGGTGTGTCGCCCCACAGAGCCCAAACGTTCCCGGAGGCCTGGACCTTGCCGGTCCTGCTCGAGTGCTCAGGAGCTGGTTCCCGGGCACATAGGCCCAGGAAAGCTGTGCCAGGGAGGAAGTCCGCTGACTACCGTGCCATCAGGACTGGGCCCATGGGGACATTTGGCAGGAGCATGCTGGCAGGTCAGGGGTGGCTGCCCAGAGGAAGTCGTCTTGCTACTGGGACCGAGACCAGCTGAGCAAGAGGAGAGTTCGAAGGCAGTGTGGGCCAGAGTGGTTGGTCGGAGACGCTTCCTGGAGGAAGGACCTGGACGCGTGCTTGGGGGCGGGGCCGGCTCTAGGAGAAATGCAGTAACTAGTTGGGTTCTGAGGGGTCCAGCTGAAGAGGACGGGCAGAGCGAAGGTCTGAAAGTGACCTGGGCCTAGGGCCTCCTGCTGGGCCAGTTGGAGAAGGGGGCCCAGGGCACCGAGTCGCCTGGCATGCTGCTTATCCAGGGGCCTGGAGTTCCCAGGGCTCCGCAGGGCGGGGCCTCCCAGTAGGAGACACTGCTGAGTGCTTGAGGATCCGGAAGTAGATGAAGGTGGAAGGCCAGGCCAGAGCGCAGGCTTCGCACTTGCCCTACCTTTCCTTGAGGGCGTTGCCAGTGGGACAGGTGGTGCGGTGGGCCTCGTGGGAGGGCCCAGGCTGGGAGCTGGGCTGGGACAGACTCCGTGTGGGGGTCAGATGGGGTGCAAGAAGGTATGATCATGTAAGAAGAATCACTGCCTTAGCCCAGCATAGTGGCGCGCACCTGTACTCCCAGCAGTTTGGAGGCTGAGGCGGGAGGATCACCGTGAGCTCGAGGCAGCCTGCTGAGCTACAAAGTGAGTTCAAGGCCAGCCTGAACTACAAAGTGAGACCCTATCTCAGAAGAAAAAAAAAAGCTGGGTGTATAGCTCAGCCACATGGCGCCTGCCTGGAAAGCGCAAGGTCATGAGTTCAATTCCTGGTGCAAAAAGGGAAAGGAAAAAGTGGCTGTCTTTCACTCAGTGATTACTAAGGCCTTTCCGTGTTGTCCTGTGCGGTAGTCACGGTGCTGTGGACGGGACCATGTTGTCCTCTTTTTGAGAAAAAGATCTGCAGGCATGGAGAGGTGAAGATGTCCAAGTCCGCCTGCTTCTTGCTGGCGGGGCTGGGGTTGGAGCCAGGTCTGCCCTCCCGCAGTATGTGAGTGGGTCCTGTAGCTCCTGTGGTGGCCGGGGCCCCTCTCCATGTCCCCATGCACAGATGTGGGGTGCAGGAACTTTGGGAGCTGCTGACTCGCGGGCCAAGAGAGCAGCTCCAAGTCCTGCTGTGCCCAGTTCACGTGTCCTGTCCCCGGCCGTCGGGACCGGGGCCCACGCTGGCTGTGTGCCGTGTGTGCGGAGCCCAAGCCGAGCGACTCCCCAGCGTTACCTGTCACGCTCACCGGCTCCGTGAGGAGCTGGATCTGGAGGGCCTGAGGAAGTTAGCATGGATTTGTCTGACCACAGAGCCTGCAGTTTTATTTGCTTGCTGGTTTGTGACAGGTTCTCTCTGTATAGCCCAGGCTAGCCTGGAACACATGGTTATTCTCCTGCCTCAGCTTCCCCAGTGCTGAAATTTTTTTGTTTGTTTGTTTTTTTTCCAGTACCGGGAATCGAACTCACGACCTTGCGCTTGCCAGGCAGGCACTGTGCCGCTGAGCTAAATCCCCAGCCTCCCAGTGCTGAAATTATAGGCACATAGAAGCCTGTGCATTTGTTTTGTTTTGTTTTGATACTGTCTAGTGTTGTGTACTGTCCTGTAGTATGCAGGAATACTGACACACAAGCCTGTCCCTGTGTTCAGTACAGGTGCACGTTTTGTTGTGTATTTCTGACCCACGGCTGCCTGCATCGATGGATGCAGAACCTGTGGGTACGTAATGGGTACACGAGATCGGGCTGCAGTTGGGTGGCCTTCCACAAGGGCACATTGTCCCAGCACGCCCAGAAGCCCCTCAGCCCACCTGCTACCTGCTACCTCCTACCCGCCCACAGATGGCAGCACCCTGACCGCCCCTCCCTTCTCCCATCCCCCACATTGATACAGACCCTGGGAGGAAAAATTGTAATCAAGAATTAATTCCCGGCAGACCTACGTTCTAGACATTATTTCTTCTGTTGTTTCGTTGGTTGATTTTGAGACAGGGTCTTGCTCTGTTGCTTGCACTGGCCTTGAGCTCCTGAGCTCCTTGATCCTCCTGTCTCAGCCTCCTGAGGAGCTGGAGCTATGGGGACACACCACCATGCTTGGCTAGATAGTTTCGGTTCACGTATTTGAATGTAAAGTTTCACCTTTCATCCTTTGAGGGCAGTGGTGTGTGCACTGTTCGCGGGATGATTACATAACTGAGCCCTGAATCCCTTTTCACTGTGGACCTCTGGGCTGTTTTCTTAGCACTGAGCTACATCCTCATCCCTTTTTTTTTTTTTTTTGTATTTTATCTTGAGACCGGGTCTCACTAAGTCACTGCATTGCCTAGGCTGGGCTCAAACTTGCTACCCTGCTGCCTCAGCCTCCCACAGTGCTAGGATTACAGGCGTGCACCATCCCCAGCTCATTTTCTTACCTTTTTATTGAATCATAATGTACATGTGAAAACGTGAACTCGTGAATGTGCTCCCGGACTGTTCAGAGAGAACGTACCTGGCCAAGCTGGTGGTGCCTGCTTGTAATCACTGTAGGAGGCTGAGGCAGGAGGACCATCAGTTTTGGGAAACTTGGCATCTTAGCCAGGTCGTGTCTCAGAATAAAAAGTAAACAAGGGCAAGGGTTGTAGCTCAGTGCAAAAATGCAAAGGCTCTGGGTTCAACCCCAATACCACACACGAAAAAAATAACAAAGTGAAAGAGAGACTACTCCTGTATGTCCAGCACTCAGACAAAGGACTGGGAACTCATCAGCACCAGGCACCGGCTCCAGGCAGCCTCACCCGCCACTGGGGCACGGAGCCACGGTCCCGGTCTCCCCACCTCGGAGTAGATTCCTGCTGTGAGCCTCTCATTGAGACCTCGGGCACCAGCCTTGCGTGCCCGTTTCTGGCTCCCTTTGGCAGGTGCTGTGAGGCCGCCTGAGTCGCTGGCTTCGGTGCCTGCTTCTGGCTCCGTGCAGTTTCCCCTCATGGAAGATTCCCAGTCAGTGACATTCGGGTTCTTTTCTGTGTGGGGCACTATGTACGGCACTGCTGTGAACCTTCTAGAGTATGTGTCAGCGCACATTTCTGTTTTTGAAGTACTTTTTTTTGTACCAGGAATCAAATTCAGGACCTTGTACTTGCCAGGCAGGCACTGTGCCACAGAGCTATATCCCCAGCTGTTTTGTTTTTGAGACAGGGTCTCACTGCATAGTCCAGGCTGGTGCTGAACTCACTGTGTAGCCCATGCTGGCCTCAAATTTGCACCAATCCTCTTGCCTTAGCCTCCCAAGTATTGGGATTACTACCATACCTGGTTTTTCTTTCCAATTTTAAAATTGGATGTTGTGTCCTTCTCTTTTCAGACTGATTTATAGAGATTGGCTGTACTGTATATATTTAAATGCAAGTTCTCTGAGCTGGATGCAGTGGTGCACACCTGTAATCCCAGCTCTTGGGAGGCTGAGGCAG